TCAAGCATGATAATAATTTATGAAGTCAATGTATATAGTAAACAAAACATGTCTAAGGTGTGTTCAATCTAGAGCTAATTGATGAGGTATTATTAAAAATAATAATGCTCACGTCATGTGTGTTGGGAACTGTCAGCAGCAGTTCATCTTTAAGTTGAGAAAGAACAGAGCCTGTTTTTAAACTGGCACCTCACCCCTTTGTTTTATTTTGTTGCTCTTGGAGCTGTGCTCTGCTTTATATGTGGGATTTCAGTAATTCTCATCCCCAGAGAATTTTTTAGGCAGCAACTCTTCCATGCAGTTTAAGGTAGGAAAGTTGTAACCTTGCAATATGAAGTTTGAGATAACCAAATTTGTGAGAGATCCTAACTGGGCAAAACTTTATGCATAAATGCATAGCATATATCTTTCTGAGTATACTGGTCTATCTATGATATATATTCAACATTTACTCATTTTTTACCATTTTTAGGAGATACAAGTTGTGGACTAAATTTAACATAAAGATAGGATATCTTTTTTTCCCCTGCTTTCCTTCTGTGAACAGGCATTATGCTTTTTTGTATACTTTTATTTCTGTAAAGTTTCACAGAAGTCCTACAAAGTGCGAAGTTTTATTCCCATTTTGCAGGTGAAGTTAAATATTGTTCACATACATACACACCCTCACAGTAAACACTGTGGACTAACCAGAACACTGGCCCAGAAGTTGGGCTGTGAGCAAATGCTCTCTGCTCTTAAAAGAAAGGAGAGGACTGAAGCCAGAAAATGGCCTTGGCTTTCTGGTCAGAGTCCTCTGTGCTCCCAGAACCGGTCACACAGACTCCTCCGCATGCCTTCGCCTGTTCCTAACCAGGTCTCTGCTCAGCCCTGACCTGCCTCCCGAGACCTGTGACTAATCTCTGCTTCAGTTCATGCCATTGCAGCTCCTAACCGCACATGCTGCCGTAGCCCCCACCCAACCTCCCTGCCTGTGGCCTTTTCCCAGTTGTAGTCCACTTTGTACCCTGCCCTCAGCTTAATCCTACTGGAAAGTCCTGCCCAGGAACCTTTAGAAACTCCCAGTTGCCTACCAGCAAGGTCCAAGTCTACTAGCATGGCCTTGACTAGTGTGGACTCCCATTCTGACCCCCGGCGGCCTTTATGGGCTTGGTCCTGAGCTTTGTCTCACTCTCCCAGCCTCCCTGGTGTTCTGGGCAGTCCTGCCCAGATCCAGCTGCTGCAGCCCACAGCAGTGGGGCTTGGGAAAGGACCTTTGCTTGCTTTTTTCCCTAACAGCTTTATGAGGCATAAGTAATATATAAAGACTTGTGCATATTTAATGTCTACAATTCGTTGTGTTTGAACATATGCAAACACCTATGATACCATCACCACATCAGAGCTTTCTTTTTCAAATAACAGCTAACAGATTTTGAGTATGCATATGGCTCAAAAATCAAATGATATAAAAGCATGTTTCCCCCTTTACAGCCTGTTGCTCATCTAGTCCCCTTACACTGCCCCTCTCTCAGTAACCTCTTTTATTAGTTCCTTGTATATCATTTCAGAGTATCTTTGTGACTATACGCACATGTGAATATATATTCTTATTCCCCTTCATTTTTATATGGAGGAAACATGCCAAACACACAGTTCTTCACCTTGCTCTTGCAACAAGTTTTCTTAAGTGATCTCTTTGTATCAGTACATTGATTTTTTTTGCTTTTTTATAGTTTCATGGTATTTCATCATATTCCTGTACCAAAATTTATTTAATTAGTCCCCTGTTGATGGACATACGTCATATTGCACATGTGCAAGTATATCTAGGATTATTGATTCACAGGATATATATTATTTGAAATTTTGATAGATGCCTTTTAGCTTTTTTAGTTGATAATTTTTAAATATCAAAAGAGCAGCTCAAATTCCACTTCTCCTAAAATCCCCAAACCAAAGGGAGCCCACATCCTAATTTCTTCTGCTGTATGTCTGTCACTCATTAGCAATCATGTGTGTGTTATTTCCCTAACTGAAGTGAAAGAACTCCGGGCTTTCTTTCACATCCTCAGAACTTACTCTGGTACCTATAGATGCATCTGCTCATTGATCAAATGTTCATGTCTTTTGTTCAAGAAGAGAAATCTCTGCTGTGGACCTGAACATAAGGAAACTGCGTGCTACTTACTAGTGGTTTATTGAGACAAAGCTCTCTTTGGAGGGCAGATGCTCTCAGGCAGGTGCCACAACCAATTTTAAAATATTTATTGAGCATCAGAAATATAGACACAGTGAGAGGCTAGGAGGAAGAAGAATGAGCAAAACAGGACTGGTCCTTATGAACCCTTCCCCAAGTTTACTAGGCCTTTACTTTATAGTGTTTTAAACATATTTCAAAAATGTTTGTAATTGGGAAATTACATACATAAAAGTGCACAGATTTTAAGTATACAGGTGGAATGATTGCAAAATCTGCTTGAAACATTTTTTGTTAGTTACTAAACTTTTAAAAATCTCTTGAAAAACTCGTTCTGGTAATAGCTTCCCCTAAGTCAGGGTAGTCACTCCCCAATTTCTCTGTTCCTTTTTTCCTGTTCCCTGAATGCATTTACATTTGAAATCCCTGATCCTCAATAAAGTAGGATGTCTAAGCATCTGGGAGGCAGAAGGGGTTTGGGGTGGGAGGAGAGGTAATTGGAAGAGCAGAGATAAGAAGACTGACAAAGGAATTGAGCAGTATAAATTGAACACCAGCCCTAGCTGGTTTGGTTCAATGGGTAGAGTGTCATCCTGCGGACTGAAGGGTCCTGGGTTCAATTCCAGTCAAGGGCACATGCCTGGGTTGCGGGCTCCATCCCATGTAGTAGGTGTGCAGGAGGCAGCCAATCAATGATTCTCTATCATCATCAATGTTTCTATCTCTTCTCCCTCTCTGAAATCAAAAAATATATTAATAAATAAATTGAACAACAGACTGCTTATCTATTGTATATTTACTTTTATTTTAACAAAGTTTGTTTGTTTGTTTGTTTATCCTCACCCCAGGATATTTTTTCCATTGATTTCTGGAGTGGAAGGGAGGGAGGAGAAGGGAGAGAGAAATATCAATGTGAGAGAGACACATCAATTGGTTGCCTTCCACACACACCCCCTGACCGGGGCTGGGATTGTACCTGCAACCCAGGTACATGCCCTTGACCTGGAATCCAACCTGAGACCCTTCAGTGCGTGGGCCAATGCTCTAACCACTGAGCATACCACCAGGGCACATGTTTATAGTTTTTAAAAAAATCAATTCATTTTCTGCAGTTTAATCTCTTCAAGTACTGTGTTTTGTCTCCATCTCCTCAAATAGCATTGTTGGTGGTTAAAAACAAAGCATTAGTTGGTATTTTAAAGTGTAAAATTAAAACACCTGATGAATCTGTAAGCAGCCTATCAAAGCCATGACTCAGAACAAAACCCAATTCTAAAATGTTTATCTGATGTCACAGAATAAATTTTAAAACAAGCCATTTGCCCTCTACAGTTTATCTCAGCTGCACCTGCCCTCGAGAATGCTGCCCACACACAGGAACTGTTGTTTAAAGATTTTGCTGTTGATTCATCAGGCAGGCTCTCCAGGAATTATTTACACTTTAAGTTATTATAAAAAATGCATGCACATGTTAAAAACCAAACACAATTCTACAAAGCCATTTAGAAAATTAAATCTTTTCTCATCCTTTGTCATCTCTTACCAGAAACGATCAGTATTACCAGTTTCTTGTATATTCTCCCAAAGATACTCTGTGAATAAAAAAGCATACCGCATGTGTGATGTGTGAACACAAACACACCAAGCCCTCCTCCATTTCTACACAAATGGCAACAAGCTGTGTGTTCTGCACCTGTTTTGTTTTCATTTTACTTAACATCTGGGTTGTTTTGTTTTTCTGGCAATATTATATATATACACCCACACTATTCTTTTGGCTGCATAATATTATGTAATTTAAGCAGTTTCTTCCTGGTGAATGTTTACGTTTGCAATCTTTCCTCTACAAACAGCACTGTTAAGGACATCCCTTTACATTTATCTTTGTGCATGGGTGCACATGTATCTAGAGTATGAGTTCCTAGAATGTGCCTTTTAAATAGTGTTTGTTTTGGCCCAGTTGCCCTGCAAAGAGTGTACCTACCGGTTTACTTTCCATCAGTGTATGTAAGTGCAGTTTCTCAGCACTCTTGCTAACACTTCTATTATCAGGTCATTTGTTCTTTGCCATTCTTCTTGATGAAAATGATATTTTGATGTGGTTTCAAATTGTCTTTCTGTTGTTTTGATCCAGAATGATTTTGTCCAGGAAGAATAGCTCAGGGCTGCCAGGCCACTTCTTACTCATCATAATCATCTCTGCTGCTTTTCTAATTCCTTTTTTTCTTTGCCTTGGAGCAAAAGTGAGACAGACTTGTTTAAAAAAAAAAATCCCTTTTGGGGAAATAACATTGCATATATAATGACTAGATTACACATTAAAAAAAAAAAAACACTGAGTCCATTTATTTGACCCATCTCTCTTCTCGTTTCCTAGGCTTTCACTCTTCCCTCTATTCCTTTTATTCCTTTGACCAGAGGACCTCACACTAGTCAGAGACATGAGCACTTCAATCCTCCTTCTGTCTGAACAGATTTTTCCAAATAAAGTTCTCCAAGAATTATTAGCTTATTTCCTTGGCGGTACCTGAAAATTATTTCTACTCAGCAAACCAGCAGTAGAATCACAGTTCTGTAAGGGCTGGGCTTTTCACTGCTGTAACCCCAGCCCTAAGATAGTGCCTGACACACATAGATACTCAGCTTTATTTATATGTATGTGTGTATATATATAGTAGTAAAACCTACATAATATAAAATTGACCATTTTAACAATTTTTAAGTGTACAGTTCAGTGGCATAGAGTACATTTACATTTCATTAGTTTTCTTTCAGATGAATGAATGAGTAGTGATACTTGTTTTTTGTTTCTGAAATTAACAAGAGCCAGATGGTCTTTTAATTCACATTGTTCTTTCCTCCAGACGAAGTCATACGGAAGCGTCTCCTAATTGATGGAGATGGCGCTGGAGATGATCGCAGAATTAATCTGCTAGTGAAAAGTTTCATTAAATGGTGCAACTCTGGATCCCAGGAAGAGGGGTATATCTTTTCACTGTTGTTTCTATACCACTGTCCTCATGTGTAGGCTTTATACACAGTTCTGATAATATTGCAGATTTTCACCCACCTTAAATGTCCAATTGAGTCAACTCTTGGTTAATCAAGAGTGGGTTTTTCTGGCCTTAATTCTCTGGAGAGGCCTGCTTTATATTTGTTAAAAGGTGTAGAAGGCATAGTGACTAGAAGAAATGAAAATTAAATCCAGGCTCATTATTTAGTTACTTTTAGCAGATATGTGTTTAAATATCTAAATAAAATGTTCTTTTTTTAAATAAGCTAACAGGTTGCTGCAAAGTTTTGTACATATTTAATAATTTTTAAATTAGAAAAATTTTCCTCATTTGAATTAGCTTTTCACATAGACAAATAACCACATAGAGTGAAAAAATTGTGAGAATTGTGAAGACAAAAAATCTGATCAAAACATTTAAAAAAGTATTTAAAACAAGTAGCTGTTTAAATTAAACTTATACTGATAGGAACAACAATACCATCTTTGCATTTTTAACTAAAGCAGTTATAAACTCAAGTGTACTATATTTGGGGAAAGAAAACAAGGGACAGATAGTCTAAATTATTTAAAGTAAAGCAAAGGATTCTCTCAGAACTTTATATAATTTAATTAGCAAATGTTTGCCTACACTATAAATAGTTCAACTTTGGTAATCTGCAAAAATCTTTATTCCGTTTTTCTCTCTTTTTTATTAGTTACAGCCAGTACCAACGTATGCTGAGTACACTGTCCCAGTGTGAATTTTCCATGGGCAAAACTTTGCTGGTATATGATATGAATCTCAGAGAAATGGAAAATTATGAAAAAATTTACAAAGAAATAGGTAAAGAAACCTAAATTAATTAATCTTTAGCTATAATTTTAATTTTTATGGCCTAAGGGAAATAATACTTGCTGGTATTTTTCTTTGATTAGTAGTAAAATAATGACAATAACAATATTAATAGAAAAAATATAGTAAAATCAGTTACAAAAATGTATTTTAATATGATATAGTACTTTACAATTTTTTTAAAAAATGTCAGCATCTATTTTATTAGCAATGGAACTTAATTTAAAAACACATTTTAAATTTGAAAATGGATGGAGATTATAGATGTTACAACTATCTTTAAAAAACCTTTTTCTATAGAATGTAGCATTGCTGGAGCACATGAAAAAATTGCTGAGTGCAAAAAGCAGATTCTTCAAGCAAAACGAATACGAAAAAATCGCCAAGGTAAGAGTTTTGTGGGATTTAGTTAGTGTGCGAATACTTTATTACTGACTAGGATTTTCATGATTTTTTTTTTTTTTTAATGTTGTGAGGTAAAATCTTCAGCTAGAATCAGCCTGAATTGTAAAAAAGAATTAGGAGCCCTAGCTGGTTTGGCTCAGTGGATAGAGCGTTGGCCTGCAGACTGAGGGTCCCAAGTCTGATTCAGGTCAAGGGCACATACTTCGGTTGCAGGCTCCTCCCCAGCCTGGGCCCTGGATGGGCATAGGCAGTAGACAACCAATTGATGCGTTTCTCTCACATCGATATTTCTCTCTTGTCTTTTCTTCTCTCTTCCACTCTCTCTAACAATCAATGGAAAAATATCCTCGGGTGAGGATTAAAAAAGAAAAAAGAATTAGGAGCCAAACTTAATTCTTCAAAATTATATTATTCTTTAAAATAGAGAAGGAAGGTTATGCTAAAAAAATTTTATTTTTCCTGGATTGAATTGATTATGCAAGTATTTCTTAAGTATTTGTTTTTTTATTTTTGTTTTTTTACTGTCTTCAGACCCCTTTGCCTAAATAATATAATGGTTAATCTGCAAAGGCTATTTACACAAGTACACTAGATTTAGGATTTTGTTTGTTGTTTATTTGTTTAATTGGAGTACTTAAAAAAATAATTTAAGCCCACTGAGTTTTTATTAAGTACAAAGCAAGCAAATATTTACAAGCTGCCTAAATAATAAGAAGAAGGTTAAAGTTTTGCTCTCTTTGTTCTTAAATTAGGGTATGTCCTTATTGCAGTCCATAAAAACAATTTCAAAACAATTTTTAATGGCAGAGGTATTGTTCCTCCTATAATGTAAATTGAAAGAAAGACAGAAAGAAATAAAATGTTTAATTAGAATTGTGACATATATGAAAAACTAGAAGGAAATGGAAAATGTTAATGGTTTTTGGGGGGTTGTAGGTTTTTATGGCTTAAGTTTTTTTTGTTTGTCACACTTTTGTTGAATTAATATGCAGATTTCCAAAACAATAAATTTTACTTTTTAACGAATAATTACAATGATGTTCAATTCCTTTTTCTTTAAAGTTGTTTTTTTAATTCAGTCTAAAATGCATGTGGTCAAGTTTTGGTGGTGAGTTTACAGCAAGATATACCAATTAATAAATCAATTGTAAATTCTTTTTAAATGTTACACATTGTTTTTGTTGACTATTGAGGGCTTTCAAATGAATGCTGCCATTTATCATTTCATAAGAAAGGTTAACGGAAGATACATGGTTTATCCTGGAAGTCTCAGTGGAGCAGAAACAAGGTTCCTGAATTTTAAATCATTTCTAGGTTTCTGAAATCTTTGCCTTTAGAATGAGTGAGAAGTACAATTTGCTGTTGTCTAAGGTCTGGACTTAATGGTATGCTATATTTCCCTTGCTGATGGTTTATTTGCTGGGCAAATAGTATACAGTCCTCTTTAGAATCATCCACTGGATCAGTAATGACTTAAGATCACATATGCCTCTGCTGGCCTCTTGTATTCTGCCCTTGAAAAGGCAAGTGGAAAACAGAGCGGGAGCTAAGGTGCTTGCTTGGAACACTTGAAGTCGTGTGTCATTGCAGTTGTAGCTGAGTCAAGTGACACTGGCAGTACTCTTTCCTTCCTAAAACGTTTCATTTCCTTATGAGCTAGGAAAGTGATTTGGAAAGACTTGTGATTACTATACATTTTGTTTTGATATCCAGGTTCAAAAAAACCTTAATTTTATATCTTTCAGAATATGATGCTTTGGCAAAAGTGATTCAGCATCATCCAGACAGGCATGAGACATTAAAGTAAGTTTAGAGCTTTACTGGAAAGTAACTGATCTTTATATGTGTTTACATACTGGCCTATGCATTCCATTTTTTTTAGGAATACATAATATGTTTCAAAAGGAGGGACCAGGTTGCCAATATGACATAGTCTAATACTGTTAAATAGATATTTTTAATGCTCCTGCCTATACTGCTTGTAGTTCTGAAATAAACTATGCATATAATATGCATCAATATGAAAATGAATAAATAGAATATGTCCTACTTATATAGTGTAATACTAAATAGTAGTTAAAAAGAATAAAGTAGAAATACTTTTTTTAAACACATAATCAGAGAAAAGAAAAACAGAAGATATGTAAGGTGGGGCAAACGTAGGTTTACAGTTGCGAGTGTGAGAAACACAGTTCATTCTTGTATTATTATTTACTAATTATTGTATTATTTTCCATATGAACAACTGTAAATCTACTTTAGAGATACAAATATATACTTTAAAAAAAGGATTGGAATAATATAGGGATTGCCTGAGTGGGTGGTAAAGGAAGAAAAATGGCTTGGGAAAGAGGGCTGGGGGTAAGATTAAAAGTGTGTCAAGCAAATCTGCAATGTTTTATTTCTTTTCCCAAAAACCCAACTTGAAATATGACAAAATGTTGTTAAAACTCATCAATTCTTGGGGTTTGATATTCTGTTATCTATGTTTTCCTATACTTTAAAAAGTATATAGAAATTTCATTTTAATGAAAATAAATGCATACTCAGAAGTTAAGAATAAATCACCGTAGCTTTAAAAGTCTAATTATAATAGAGTGTTATAACTCATCCTTTTTTTATTTTTAAAAACTACTTAGTAATTAAAAAGTTAGTTATTATGAATTCTGTTCCTCCGTTAGCAAAATATAACACTTTTATTGTTTTTCAGGGAACTAGAAGCTCTGGGCAAAGAATTGGAGCATCTTTCACATATTAAAGAAAGTGTTGAAGATAAGGTATTTGCATATATATGTTAGATTTCATGATATATATGTTTATAGATCAATGTGTATTAATTTTTTTCTTGTTAACACAGCTGGAATTGAGACGGAAACAGTTTCATGTTCTTCTTAGTACCATCCACAAACTTCAGCAAACACTGGAAAGTAAGTAGAAATAGTTTAATAACGAATGTTTATAAGGATTTTTAATGGCCCAGGGACATGCCTTCTAAAATATACATCTCAAAGAGAGAGTACACTTTCAATTTTAGAACATCAGTGTAGTTGGATGACATTAGAAAGTACTCATGTTGTTCAGCTTTCTGAATATATGCAGAAAAATCTGAATTTGTAGTAATATCTGATTTAAACACATATCCAGTAGTCTATATTAAGAGCAATTTAAGGGTAATAGATTTGGAATTTTTTTGGTTTATTATAGTTTATTGCAATAAAGTAACGATGCAGGACCCAGGCAGGCCATAAGTGAGTGAAGTAGTTAGTGATAAGCATATTTGGATACTCAGTAGAATAGTGGGTGCTTTGGGAGAACTGTAGACTTGCTCATGGTATTGATTATAACCAATAGGAAATTTCTGTATTATCTGATCTGATTGTTTTCAAGAAAAGCTAAGACCTAGGTTTTTGTTTAAAGTGAAATCTATCATGTAAGTTTTACATTATTTACGTAAGTTTTACATTATTTACATCAGTTTCACATTTACGAATACACAAGAACAACCAAAATGGAACTTTTAAAACCAAACACTTGTGTGTGCTGATTACAGTCATAGGCTATTATTTTGCCATTTTTATTTTAAATTGACTGTCTAATAAAGGATAAACGTTTTCATATATTTATTAGACATATAATTTAAGCAAATTTGACTAAAGTTTTATCTTTCTTTCTCAATCACAGATGATGAGAAGCTCTCGGAGGTGGAGGAGGCTCAGGAAACAAGCATGGACGCAGATCCTAAGCCATAGGCCAGCGCTCACCACTCCCCAGCTATTGAAGGAGCAACACGAGCTTAGTGTGTTTAGCATTTGCTGTGCTCTTGAGAAATTTAAAGTTTTGTCAGTGAACTAATTTGCTTTTAAGTGTTTATGTACAGTTCATTCATATTTCTTCACACAAAGGAAAATGACTCCGCTATATATTTGTTTTGTTATTGAAATACCTTTTTTATTCTTAAACTTAAAAGGTAGGAAGCAGCATCCAAAACTGTTCAATAAAACTTTTTCAAGCTCATTAGTATTCTAGGAAGTTTTTAACTATTAACATTGATTTGCTTACAAAATAAGCTGAAGATTGTGAGAAGGTGGTGTTTCTAGGATGTCCATGAGAAAGTGAGTCAACTTCTGGAAATTGTTACCACTTTTTTAAATAGGTATAATTGTCCTTTGTTTGTTTGTTTGTTTTGTGTGGTTTTTAAAAAATATTTTTATTGATTTCAGAGAGGAAGGGAGAGAGTGAGTGAGAAATAGAAACATCAATGAGAGAGAATCATTGATCGCCTGCCTCCTGCACGCCCCCTACCGGGATCAAGCCCGAAACCTGGGCATGTGCCCTGACCGGGAATCGAACCAGTGACCTCCTGGTTCATAGGCCAATGCTCAACCACTGAGCCATGCCAGTAGGCATTGTTACCACTTTAGAAGTGGAGTATTTGGACAGGCTTCAGGAGGGCTGTGAACTTGCAAAATATGTGCAAAATGTTTGTGGTGTATGGTCATTGTGGGACAGGTTCCATGATGTTAAGAATCACTGGTGTAAAAGGCAAAGCAAATCCATATGCATTATTTTCTAGATCTCTCTCCTTAATACTTGAACAATGTGGTCGTTAAATGTTTTGTTCAGCCCTAGCCGGTTTGGCTCGGTGGATAGAGCGTTGGCCTGCGGACTGAAGGGTCCCAGGTTCCATTCCGGTCAAGGGAACATGCCTGGGTTGCAGGCTTGATCCCCAGTGGGGGGTGTGCAGGAGGCAGCCAGTCAATGATTCTCTCATCATTGATGTTTCTATCTCTCTTTCCCTCTTAATTCCTCTCTGAAATCAATAAAATATATTTTAAAAAAATAATGAAAAAAATAAATGTTTTGTTCATATTTCCTCTCAACTGTTTTGTTCCTTGGGAATAACTTTCAGTGGAGAAAAGTCGATAAAGTGAAGAGTAATTTTAGAATAGTATATGAATATGGTCTTGCTTAAAGGAATTCATGACCTTTTTAAAAGTAAACTAAGGCTGAATCACCTGTAATTTTCTTAAGTATTAAATTACATTTTCAATACTTGTTAGGTTTCATCTTTATTCATTTATTTTAGTTCAGAAACATGACACTTTACATGAATCATACCTTAATAGTGTTACATTTTTGTAATTTTAAGAATTTTTATATTTAAAAACATGAAAATTTGAAATTAGCTCAGTTGTAGTTATATTAAAAGTGTCATAATACCTTTTTTAAAATATATATTTTTATTTCTGAGAGGAAGAGAGAGAAACCTCAATGATGAGAGAGAATCATTGATAGGCTGCCTCCTGCACGCCCCACACTGGGGATTGAGCCCACAATCCTGGGCATGTGCCCTAACCGGGAATCAAACCCTGGTCTCCTGGTTCATAGGTAGACGCTCAACCACTGAGATACAGCAGGCAAGCAAAAAGTGTCGTAATACCTTTAAATACTTTGTTGTATTTAAAGGCAATCATGGGAGAAATATTTTTGCAGAATTGTTATGCCTTAATGTTTCTATTTTTTCATTCTTTATAAGAATTATGAAGCAAAAATTTGCTTATAGTAAGTTAGAATTAAAAATTAATTTTTTAAAAAGTAATTTTTTAAGGACTGTGGGGCAGAATATTATAAAAAATGCCTCCTCCCCACTGATTCATTCACTAGAGGGATTTATTCAGGATTATGTACCAAAAGGTAAGAATCCCTATGAAGATAACTTTTATGCAATCCAGAACAAAATCAGAAGCAGCAGCAGGTACATGGGAAACACACATTCTTCAATTTATACTTCCTCATGGTTCTCTTGGAAATCCTCTGGAACTGCTTAGAAGACTGAAGAATTTCGTCTCCTAGAAACTCGCACTGTTGAAGCTCAGCGTGCCTTTGGGCCAGTAACTTCATGGACTTGTCAGTCACTGTTTCTATGAGGTCATCCACCTGTGACAGATAAATACAAAGAAGTGCAGCCATGTGCTGGACAACCCTGTCAAACCTGAGGGATGGTTGTTTTTCCTGAAGATTAATTCAGGAATTGGTGGACATTTTGCACATTCCAAGTATTATTCTAATTCAAGTCATAGCAAACAGCTTGAAAATATACATTTACTACCCAGTGATAAAGACGATCTCATTTCTTCTCAAAAGAAGCCTATGTGCATGCCTTCATATTAATTGAATTCACTTAGTGTTTATTAGGCACACAATACCAACCAAGGTGCCTTTAGCAATCCGTCAGCCACTTTCAAAACGCCCCCACTAACATTATTTCTTAATGGCAATCATCAATTTCACTGCACAGTCATGCTGTCCAGCGGGGCTGTGCATCCAGCGAAACCTGGCCTGCTGCTGCTTCTGAAACACAGAAGTAAAAGCCTTTGTCCACTACCTGCATTTGAAGCTTTCCTACTGTCAAGTCTGGTTTCCGGAGGACATTTCTCGCGCCGTGTTTCCTCTTTCTAAGTGCTGGAAAGTGTGGTCTCTTTTTTGCGGAGCATGGAGCCTATCACAAAGATGCAAACACACAGATTAAAAAAGCGCCAGCATGACTTTTGTGACAGTGCTTAGGTACGAATTCTTACAAACTGAACGTTTGCCACATAACAAATGTCAAGTTGGTGACCGTATTCATATTTTCTCCACACCCCATGTATCTCCTTTGTGCCCAGAGCTCTCTTTGAAGAGATCTATAGGGTGCAGAGAATGAGATTGCCTGGTTCTGAAAGAAAATACAGTGTCAGGAAAAAAGCAGGTCAGTCGTAGCGGAAGAAGAAACTGCCTGTGCGGCCGCTGAGCACAGTGAGGTGGAGTCGTTATGGACCAGTGCCCGGAAAGCTCATTATCACTGGATCCAGTTGTTAATTTGGTCTTTTTTCTGTAGGTTTCCTTGTTTTCATGGCAGACATGTCTGCAAACGTAAAAAAGGTCTGGGTTCTTTTCACCACATGCCTGGTACTTTTCCTCTTGTCCCTGGTGTGCTGGTTGCACGTACCTGCTCTCATGGTGGTGCTATTAGGAATCATTTCTAGGCCATGGCTCCTGGCTAATATGCCCTCTTTGGCCTAATTGGGTTCACTTTCTTCTTCTTCTCTTAATAAATAGCATTAGGACTATTGTGAGACCTGCATAAAGGAGGATATGAGACCACATCTGGGTCCTAGCCCTCGCCTGTGAGGGAGTTTACAAATGCGTGTGCTGAACACACCACTCGGCCCGGCCAGCCTGCCCAGACTCACATGTCACTTGCAGAACTTCCCGGCCCTGTGTATAGTTGAACTCTCTCCTCTCTCACATAAACTTCAGTACTTTTTCCTACTAAGCACTTACCACCCTTCATAATTACTAAGATATTTCTGTTGGTTGGATACCACTAATGTAAAGTCAAATGCCTAGAGGGGCCAGGCAGTTTTTGTAAAACAACCTGGGGCTGGTGTGAACTGGAGAGAATGTGCCTCAGGCATAGGGGGCAGCCTCTGCAGGGCTCCTGCTGT